AAGGAAATGTGCCCAATGCCAAGTGGGAATCTGGGGGTGCTTCAGAGGAATGGAAAAATTTCGTGTGGATTTTCAAGGATGTATAGAGGTGGGTCAGGTAACACATGGAGGGATGAATGAATGAATCAATCAATTGTTTGGCCGGATAACTGAAGAGACAATCATCCACACATGCTGTGTTCTAAGCAGCCTTGGGAAGGGTTTTTCAGACAAAGGGAACAGCATTTGCAAATGCAGGGATGCATGAAAAAAACATGGCAAGCTTCAGGAATGACAACATTCATGTTATTTGAACAAAAGTTTTGTGCAGAGGAAGATGCAAAGAAATTAAGTAGAAATTCAGGTCGAGACCACTGCATAAAGTATCAGTGTTAAGAAGTTTGTACTTCATCCCGGAAGAAACAGAAGGGCAAGGTAGATTTTTTAAGGAGGGGATATCAACTATTCAAACATATTTATTGATCTCCTAGTATATGCCAGGCACAGTACCCACAGCTGTGAGGAAACAGATATCCTTGTCTGAAACAAAACACACAAGAACTTCTGGTCTAATGGGTGTTATAATCTAATGGAGAGTGGCAGACAATAAGCAAAATAAAACTATGCAATACATTTAAAGATGAGAAGTGCTAGGAAGAGACAAAAGAAGAGAGTGGAGGAAAGGGGTCAGACTGGCACTTTAGAATAGTTCCTTTAAGTCATTAGAAAATATTAGACAGATATTGGAGATAGAAATAAAAATTAAGATTCCATTAAAGCATTCATGGTGGATGTGATGAATCTAGGAACTGAAATTATATAATGGGAACAAATGGAGATAGGTTCAAAAGAATCAATAGGATTTCATTGGAGATATATTGCATATTAGGAGATGTATTGTATACTGAAGAAGAAAATTAACAAAAATACTATGCTGAGTTTTCAAATAAGAGTTTGAATCATCATTATGAAGGGAAGATAAAGAATTAAGCTTTAGTTCTATAATTCCATTAGAGTCATATGTTGCTTGATTTTTCTTAGACCCATAGAGGATGTTTTTGTTACCAGCAAGTCTTTGTTCTTAGAGCTCCCAAGATGGTGACAGGCCACTCCCAAGATGGCGGCAAGTCTTTTGTTCTCTGACCTGGGGTTCTTGGCCTCATGGATTCCAAGGAATGGAGCCTTGGGCCATGGGGTGAGTGTTATAGCTCTATTAGAAGGCGTGGGTCACAGAAGAGAACCATGGAACCCAGTGACTAGTGCTCAGCTGGATTAGGATGAACCTGGGAACTTAGCAGGAACAGTGGTGAGTCCCTAGCCCAATCAGGAGCTGCAATGGGTGCCTCACTGGATCAGAAGCCCAGTGGACATCCTGCCGGATCCAGAGGGGTGGAAGTCAGGGGCGGGTTTGCGAGGATGGCAATCAGCAGTGGTGGACGGCATGCAAAAGCTCAACTCAAGCCAGAACAAACACAGACCAGAAGAGTGTGCAGTTGCAAGATTTAATAAAGTGAAAACAGAGCTCCCATACAAGGGAGGGGGCCCAAAGGGGGTTGCCCCTGCCAGCTCGAATTCCTGGGTTTATATGCCGATCATTGTCGCTCCCCCTGTGCTCTCAGGTGATAGATGATTTGATTATTTCTTTATCTCCTGTTTTTAGCCTAATTGGTATTTTAGTGAGCTTACTTTACTACCTGATTGGTCTGGTGTGAGTTGAGTTACAAGCTCCATGTTTAAAGGTGGCTGCGGTCACCTTCCCAGCTAGGCTTAGGAATTCTTAGTTGGCCTAGGAAATCCAGCTAGTCCTGTCTCTCACTGTCTCTCTTCATTCTTTGCAACAATGAAGTACTGAATAGATTGAATTGTCTGAGACAGTTTGGTATAGGCCACAATATCAGAGCACATAGTCTAATGATTTGTGTGGGTCACCTTGGGAGAAAATATTTGAAATGTTTCTGTGCCTTTTTCTAATTACTGTGAACCCTAAAGTTAGAAACATAGACCACCAGAAAACACATCCTTCAACTTGCCTAGTTCCACAAGTCAAGAGAATCATTGAAGTCTGGTGGATAACAGTGTGGGCCCAGGTACAAGGCTGCGTGGGTACAAATTCTGACTCACCCATCACTATCTGTGTAATATTGGGCAAGTCACTAATCTTCATGTTCCTTCTCTAAAAATGGAGATAATAGTATTTTCTGTAGATTAAATTAGGCAATTCTTATAAAGTTCATGGCACAGTGGCTCCTGGTAAGTTTTCAGTGAACAGTAACGGATATTACATTTGTTAACATCTCTATGAATTAGGGATTTGATGGACACATTCTGGGACCCAGCGTCCGTCATTTGGCTCAGGTTTCTTTAGACTGGAATAGAATTGTGATGCCTTCAGATGTATTCCACCCTAATAACGGAAGTGCTGGTGTTCTCCGAGTCTCCTTGGTGACTCTCCATGCTCTGGACCACCTGTGTTGTCTGGCATCGATGCCTGTTGCTGCAGTCCTGGCTGCCACATCAACGACAACTCCATCCTTGTGTGGGCGAGCTGTGGAGACAGATGGTTCCTTGGTACAGGGTAGGGACTGTCAGTCATGATGGGGAGGGCTGAACACGAGGCTGACGTGTGAAGTGTGGATCAAGAGCACTCCTTAAGCGGGTCCAGTATCAGAAGTTAAAATGGAGGAACTCTACATTGGTTCACTTTCAGGGAATTCCTGGACCCAACTGAAAGACTACTGAATTTTCTTTAAAAAAAAAAAACAAAACAGGGAAATGAACAACCAAATGAGGACTACCCATTTTATCATGCCTCTTTTCTAGCCATTATTCAGTTTGGTTAGGTCATTGATCATTGAAGAAATGTTGTTTCCAGTGTAAATGTCTTCTTAGTATTGGTGCCAAGACTGACTGCCTTTCTCCCCAGGTAGAAGGGCCATAGCCACCCCCTTGACATAACAGCAGAGTCTAGAAAGGAGGCACAGAGTTGCAGAGGACAGGGGCTCCTTGGAGGTTATCACAACAGTTCCCAGAGAGAATTCTGGAAACTGTAACTGACTCCAACAGTGGTAACTTATTCTTGAGGGGAAAGAGTAGTTTGTAGTGATGAAAATAAGTTTTTAAAATTTCCTTTACATCAGAAGGGGCCTTTATTCCATGTTTTCTTTTATTTTGACTATATATTTTTCACTTTCTTACTTTTCTGGGGATAAGGAAGAGAAAATTCAGGGAAAGCTAAGGACATCTTCTTAAGTGAGCATATAGAACCTCGTCTGAGAAACTTCATTCTTACTCCCAGGTCTTCTTCTTGAAGCAGAATGAATGAATAAAACAAACTCATCCCAAGCCTTAAGGAGACAAAAGGTAGTTTCCTCAGAATATGTCCTTTGTTCACAGAGGATCTCAATCACCTACTCGTTTTCTAGCTGTTGATCTAAGGAAGACTTGTTCAGAGTGAGGTGATTTTCCAAAGAACAAGACAAGGGTCTTGGGTAGAACCTAATTATCAAATAGTCACAGTGTTGTCCCAAGGCTGGGCTTCTATTTTTATCCTCACTTGAGTTTTACCATTCTCTACTTTGACCTTTTCAAAAAATATTTTCGGCCGGGTGCGGTGGCTCAAGCCTGTAATCCCAGCACTTTGGGAGGCCGAGACGGCCAGATCACGAGGTCAGGAGATGGAGACCATCCTGGCTGACACGGTGAAACCCCGTCTCTACTAAAAAAATACAAAAAAAAAACTAGCCGGGCGAGGTGGCGGGCGCCTGTAGTCCCAGCTACTCAGGAGGCTGAGGCAGGAGAATGGCGTGAACCCGGGAGGCAGAGCTTGCAGTGAGCCGAGATCTGGCCACTGCACTCCAGCCTGGGCGGCAGAGCGAGACTCCGTCTCAAAAAAAAAAAAATTTTCTTTCATGCAGATGTTGCCCACGGTGTGTGCGTTTTTGCTTACATATACGTGCACACTCACTTGGATACACATGCAAACAGAGAAGGAACAGGAACACAGGAAAAGAATACATTAGGTATGCACAAGGCCTCATGGACTAACATCCACAATGGCCCTCCGCCAGGACCAGAAAAATCACTGGCAAGCTTGTACAAGTGAAGTCTGAAGCCCTGCATTTTTACACCATGTTGCATATAAAGGTAGATACAAGAATAGGTAGACCTATAGGTATTCCTATAAGTTTCAGGACTTCTTTCATCCACCTTGAAATGTATTGCTGTTAGAATTCTAAAAAACAATCATTCAGCATTCAGAATTATTTTCTTCTCCCAGGAGAGATGAGAGAGAGAGAGATCAGACACATATGGCACTGATTCCCAAGAGCAAGACAAGAAAACAGGCAAATTGGGGGCAATGGGAACTGGCAAGGAAGAAGTGAAAGGAAGCAAGCCAGTGCTTTATTGATCTTGGGACTCCCTGCAGCACTCTCCAAATCAATAGAACAAATTGAGGCCTCGGCAATTGCATTTCTTGTGTTTATAAATGTGCAGACCCTGGGGCAAAATTTGGGGGGTATTATCGGTCTAGATTCAACAGAAGAGACAAAACAAAATATAACACTTTCAAATGTTGGCAAAAGTACCAACAAGAAGTCTCCCTGAGACTTGAGGATAAACTCATCTCAAACCTCTACTCCTGGCTGCTATGCCCCTAACCCACCCTCTCCCACCTTATACCTGGTGGACAAGAGTCTCAAGGATTCTGGGAAACTCCTAGAGACTCCTGAGTTCTAACCCTTGAAAATACTTAGACTTACATTGTTTTAAGGTGACAGAGAACAGCACTAATAAGTGCTTATTTGGTTTGGACATCCCTTCTAAAGAATTAAGTCCAAATTCTGTACCAATTATATTAAAACATTACCTTACTAATTTCAGACAATTATAAGCAGATGCCCCATTTTCTGTACCTCAGTGGCTATCCAATTTCTCAGCATTTCAAGACTTTTTAAAAGGTGGAGAGCTGCATATCATTTGTTCCTGAGATAACCTTTACAAGTCAATCTCCCACATAAGCCTCTCCCTCGCTGGTAGGCAGATGCATTATGGAGAATTTGGCAAGGTTCAATTGATAACTGAAGTAATGCAGGAATGACACTAGTGTGAATACTGCTGGCTTAGATATTTCCTGTTTTTCAGAAGGAACAAGTACCCACTATTCCTGTCATTTTAAAGGAAAGAAACAAGGACCATTATTTCCTTGGCTTAATATTAATATTAAATGGATGCCCACAAAATGTTGTCAATGAAAATCTGTGTTCAAAGCGATAATATATTCTGGAATGCTTGGCTCAGAGTTTTCTTAAGAAACAGCTCCTAAAATAATGGAGTTTAGGACAAAATTTCTGAATATCTTCTAATCTTAAGAAAGGTAAAGGGGAGCCCAGCGGGTGACCTGCCATGTCTTTGATGTGCTTGACAAACTAACAAATTTGTGGCAATCACAGTTCACATCTGCATCATCCTCATTGATTGGATAAGACTCACAGATCACTGTTGAATGGAAGTCAAGGTAAGGTAGTTATTATTATAAATGCCCACCTTCTGGGGTGCTGGCCTCAGTCACATGCCAATGTTATTTTAATAGTGTTCAAAGTAGCAACGGTGTTTTGTTGTTGTTGTTGTTGTTGTTGTTCCATAAGGGATTTTTACTTTCTTTGTGGTTAGAAAACCAACCTGCTGGATGGTCAAAAAGATTAAAATTTACCAAAGAAAGACATCATGTAAAGTTAAGTCATTTAAAAATTGACACAGAGCTGTGAGTTTTTATTTGCTGTTTTTCTTTAGACGATAACTTTCTCAGAGATAAACAGCTAAAAATGTCCAAGTCAGCAATGAGGTTTCCTTGGGTCCATTTGTATTTCAAACATGGCTAGCATGAAATACATAAATAAACAAATAAACAAATAATACACGGTGACCCAGGATGTACCTTGGAGCCTTGCTACCCAAGCTGTGATCTGCAGACCGGTAGCATGGGTGTCACCAGGGAGCTTGTTAGAAATGTAGAGTTTCAGGCCTCTCCTAAGACCTAGTGAATTCAAATCTGCATGTTAACAAGAAGGATCCCTAGGTGTTTTTCTTGCATATTCAATTTATGAGAATTTCATTCTACAGTTAATGTTATCTGCAAGAAGAGCAAATATTTTCATATGGTAAATTAGAGTCATTTCCATCCTAAAATATCTAATGGGATATCTGATGGGTCAGGGGAGCAGGGAGAGAATGCACATTCCTAGGCTAACTTATGACAGTACTAGGCAGTTAGCAGAGCACATTTTGAAAAAGGGTTGAATTCCTCTTGTTCTAACTTTGCATAAATCTGTGCAGCAGCCATTAGTAGCTGATAGTTTTAGGCATACAGTTGATGGGCATTTACTTCTTTATTGTGTGTAAACATTCAATGACTGAAACAGAGAATCTGAGATTCTAAATTAGCATAAAATCCAAGTCAGCCTAAGGCTCTGGAGATGATCAGTAAATGATCACTGCAGAGGTAAAAATACCTGCAGAGGTAGAAAAATAAAAGAAAACTAAGATAAGGAAACAGGCTATACTGGTACAATTCCAGTAAATTTGGTTAACCAAATTTAACTCAGTTTCACCATTTTTTTTGTCAAGTTGGGACTATAAGGGAACATCAAAACCACACAATACTTTAAGCAAAATGAATGAACAGTTATTGAGCACACACTATATGCTGGGTCTGATGCCAGGTTCCAGGGTCTGTTTTTTTCTTTTCAATCTCACAGCAACCCAAATGAGAAATGAATTTTCATTTCCATTTCACTAATGAGAAAATGGTGGTTTAACAAGGATAAAATAATTGCCCAAGATTACAAAGCTAGTAAGTAGAAGAACTGGGGTTTAAAATTAGTTTAATCTGACTCTGCAGTCTCTCCCAATTATGGAATGGTGCTAAGTGTAGTTATTGTAAAAGTAAGTTATATATTTAGCAAAATATACACAATTATTACAATGCTCTGATTTATTCCAAACCAAATGGTTCTTTTGTCTTTATATAGTCTTGAGTTAAAAGAAACTCTTCGTATATTGTTAAATACAGATAGCTGAACTGGGTGGGCCAGAAGTGATCATTTCAGTGAGCAGTCCGGTATACGCAGTCAGCAGAACAGATAGATGGCATCCATTTGAACATTCTGCCTGAATCAGGCTGGTTTGCAATTGTATGTGCCACCCTCCAATTACGAAAGTGTGTTTTCCAACACAATTTCAAAGGATTGTTAAAGTTCACCACATCAATATCACCCCCCCTTTTAATTATGAATTTTCAGAGGAATTACCTTGAGGAAATGGGAGGTGGAAACAATAGAGACCTTGTCATGTGTAGCCCACAAGAAATGTGTATTGGTCCAAGAAATAGTGAATAATTTAAAGGTGATGAAAACATTTGTGACACGTGTGGTAGTGTGATGCACTAACAGGAGGCCTGAATTAATACCATATTTTTGGCTTCACGCCATAAATGACCAGTGGATGTAGCTCTAGGCTTTCTACTTTCACTTTAGTCAGGACCACTTAGCTTTTATCTGGTTCATTTGTTAGGATTCCATGAAAAATTTGTTGCTGTTGTTGTTCAAAAGGCTCTATTGCTTTTTTCAAAATTGAGAATGCTTGTGTTATCAATTAAGACTTCTCATGTCATGGATGAAGACAGTAAAAAACATTCAGAACCCATGATTCTACTTCTTATGTGCCTGCTATATGCTAGGCACTGTGCCAGAGATTTTCACAGGATGTTTCATGTCTTTGTCTATACAGTAAGAAACGAAATCTAAAAGATGAATTAACTTGCCTAAGCTATTCAAGTATGTGGGGAAAAGAAAGAGATCAGCCTGTTACTGTGTCTATATAGAAAGAAGTAGACATAAGAGACTCCATTTTGTTCTGTATTTGAGATGCTGTTAATCTGTGACCCTACCCCCAACCTTGTCCTTGCAAGAGACATGTGCTGTGGTAACTCAAGGTTTAATGGATTTTGGGCGTGCAGGGTGTGACTTTGCTCCTAGAAAAGCTAGGTATTGTCCAAGGTTTATCCCCATGTGATAGGATGAAACAATGTTGCTAAAAGGTTTATCTCAAGGCACAGGATTTTCCTTTAAACTTATTCATGTCACAGATCCTTGTTCTTATGTCTTACTGCTAATTTCCTCCCTAAAAACGATCCTATTGTCCTGCCACTCCCTTATCTTTAAGATGGTAAAGATAATTATCTATAAATACTAAGGGAACTCAGAGGCCGGTGCCGGCGTGGGTCCTCTGTAAGCTGAGCGCCGGTCCCCTGGGCCCCGCTTTTCTTTCTCTATACTTTGTCTCTGTGTCTTATTTCTTTTCTCAAGTCTCTCGTTCCACCTAACGAGAAACACCCACAGGTGTGGAGGGGCAGGCCACCCCTTCATCTGGTGCCCAACGTGGAAGCTTTTCTCTAAGGTGAAGGTACGCTGGAGCGTGGTCACTGAGGACAAGTCGACGAGAGACTCCCGAGTACGTCTACAGTCAGCCTTGTGGTAAGCTTGTGCGCTCGGAAGAACCTAGGGTAACAATGGGGCAAACTAAGAGTAAATATGCCTCTTATCGCAGCTTTATTAAAATTCTCTTAAAAAGAGGGGGAGTTAAAGTCTCTACCAAAAATCTAATTACGCTATTTCAAACAATAGAGCAGTTTTGTCCATGGTTTCCGGAACAGGGAACTTTAGATCTAAAAGATTGGGAAAAAATTGGCAAAGAATTAAAACAAGCAAGCAGGGAAGGTAAAATCATTCCGCTCACAGTATGGAATGATTGGGTCATTATTAAAGTAGCTTTAGAACCATTTCAAACAGAAGAAGATAGCGTTCCAATTTCTGATGTCCCTAAAAGCTGTGCAGTAGGTTGTGAAAAAGAGGCAGGGATAGAATCCCGGAAAGGAAAGGAAAGTTCACACTGTGAATGTGTATCAGAGCCGGCTATGGCTCGGTCAACGCAAAATGTTGACAATAATCAATTACAGGAGGTAGTATATCCTGAAACGTTAAAATTAGAAGAAAAAAATCCAGAATTAGCAGAGCCATCAGAGTCTAAACCACGATGGCCAACTGCTCTTCCAGCAGCTCAAATGCCTGTAACTTTACAACCTCAAATGCAGGTTAAACAAGTACAAACTCCAAAAGAAGATCAAATAGAAAAAGATAGAGTTTCTGTCATGGCAATGCCATTCCAAATGCAGTGTCCACAATATCAGCTGGTAGAAGATAAGACCCAGCCGCCAGTAGCCTATCAATACTGGCTGCCAGCCGAACTGTGGTATCGGTTGCCCCCAGAAAATCTGTGTGGACAGCCAGGAACATTTCCAGCGCCACAGGGCACGGTACCATATCCTCAACCGCCCACCATGAGACTTAATCCTACAGCACCGCCTAGTACACAGGGTAGTGCGTTACATAAAATTATTGATGAGGCAAGAAAACAAGGAGATATTGAGGCGTGGCAATTCCCAGTAATATTAGAAGCAAGACCACCTGGAGAAGGGGCCCAAGAGGGAGAGCTTCCCGTAGCTGAAGCCAGATATAAGTCTTTTTCTATAAAAATGCTAAAAGAAATGAAAGAGGGAGTAAAACAGTATGGACCCAACTCTCCTTACATGAGAACATTATTAGATTCCATTGCTCATGGACATAGACTCATTCCTTATGATTGGGAGATTCTGGCAAAATCCTCACTCTCACCCTCTCAGTTTTTACAATTTAAGACTTGGTGGATTGATGGGGCACAAGTACAGGTCCGAAAAAATAGGACTGCCAATCCTCCAATTGACATAGATGCAGATCAACTATTAGGAATAGGTCAAAATCGGAGCACTGTTGACCAACAAGTAATAATGCCAAATGAGGCCATTGAGCAAATCAGGGCTATCTGCCTTAGGGCCTGGGAGAAAATCCAAGACCCAGGAACCGCCTGCCCCTCCTTTAATACAATAAGACAAGGCTCTAAAGAGCCCTACCCTGATTTTGTAGCAAGACTTCAAGATGCTGCTCAAAAGTCAATTACCGATGAGAATGCCCGTAAGGTCATAGTGGAATTGATGGCATATGAAAACGCCAATCCTGATTGTCAATCAGCCATTAAGCCATTAAAAGGAAGGGTTCCCGCAGGATCAGATGTAATCTCAGAGTACGTTAAGGCCTGCGATGGAATTGGAGGAGCTATGCATAAAGCTATGCTTATGGCTCAAGCAATCACAGGAGTTGCTTTAGGAGGACAGGTTAGAACATTTGGGGGAAGATGTTATAATTGTGGTCAAATTGGTCATCTAAAAAAGAATTGCCTAGTCTCAAATAAACAAAATGTAACTACTCAAACTACTACAAGAACAGATAAAGAGCCACCTGGCCTATGTCCAAGATGTAAAAAGGGAAAACATTGGGGTAATCAATGTCGTTCTAAATTTGATAAAAATGGGCAACCACTGTCGGGAAACGAGAGGAGGGGCCAGCCTCAGGCCCCGCAACAAACTGGGGCATTCCAAATTCAGCCCTTTGTTCCTCAGGGTTTTCAGGAACAACAACCCCCACTGCCACAAGTGTCTCAGGGAATAAGCCAGTTATCACAATACAGCAATTATCCCCCGCCACAAACGGCAGTGCAGCAGTAGATTTATGCACCATACAAGCAGTCTCTCTGCTTCCAGGGGAGCCTCCACAAAAAATCCCCACAGGGGTATATGGCCCATTGCCTGAGGGGACTGTAGGACTAATCTTAGGAAGATCAAGTTTAAATCTAAAAGGAGTTCAAATTCATACTGGTGTGGTTGATTCAGACTTTAAAGGCGAAATTCAATTGGTTATTAGTTCCTCAATTCCTTGGAGTGCCAGTCCAGGAGACAGGATTGCTCAATTATTACTCCTACCTTATATTAAAGTTGGAAACAGTGAGATAAAAAGAACAGGAGGGTTCGGAAGCACTGATCTGGCAGGAAAGGCTGCATATTGGGCAAATCTGGTCTCTGAGAGCAGACCTGTGTGTAAGGCCATTATTCAAGGAAAACAGTTTGAAGGGTTGGTAGACACTGGAGCAGATGTCTCTGTCATTGCTTTAAATCAATGGCCAAAAAATTGGCCTAAACAAAAGGCTGTTACAAGACTTGTCGGCGCAGGCACAGCTTCAGAAGTGTACGAAAGTACAATGATTTTACATTGTTTAGGACCAGATAATCAAGAAAGTACTTCCCATGTTAAAAAACATTTATTATCTTGTTTTGCTGTAATGGGAGTTCCAGAAAAAATTAAAACTGACAATGGACCAGGTTATTGTAGTAAAGCTTTCCAAAAATTCTTAAATCAGTGGAATATTACACATACAACAGGAATTCCTTATAATTCCCAAGGACAGGCCATAGTTGAAAGAACTAATAGAACACTTAAAACTCAGTTAGTTAAACAAAAAAAAGGGGGAGATAGTAAGGAGTGTACCACTCCTCAGATGCAGCTTAATCTAGCACTCTATACTTTAAATTTTTTAAACATTTATAGAAATCAGACTACTGCTTCTGCAGAACAACATCTTACTGGTAAAAAGAACAGTCCACATGAAGGAAAACTGATTTGGTGGAAAGACAACAAAAATAAGACATGGGAAATAGGGAAGGTGATAACCTGGGGAAGAGGTTTTGCTTGTGTTTCACCAGGAGCAAATCAGCTTCCTGTTTGGATACCCACTAAACATTTGAAGTTCTACAATAAACCCATCAGAGATGCAAAGAAAAGCGCCTCCACGGAGACGGAAACACCGCAATCGAGCACCATTGACTAACGAACAAGCCTTCATCACCATGGCACATTTATATAGAGGAAAAGGGAGGGAGAACGTTGCGGGAAGTCAGGGACCTTGAATGCAGGGACTGGCTGAAGCCACGGCAGAAAAACATAAAATGTGAAGATTTCATGGACATTTATTAGTTCTCCAAAATTAATACTTTTGTAATTTCTTATGTCTGTCTTTACTTTAATCTCTTAATTCTATCATCTTCTTTGTAAACTGAGGAGGATATATGTCACCTCCGGACCCTGTGATGATTGCCTTAACTGCACAAATTGTTTGTGGAGCATGTGTGTTTGAACAATATGAAATCTGGGCATCTTGGAAAAAGAATAAGATAACAGCAATGTTCAGGGAACAAGGGAGGCAACCTTGAACTGGCCGCCGGTGAGCCGGACGGAACAGAGCCATATTTCTTCTCTTTTCATTATGCAAATAGGAGAAATATCGCTGAATTCTTTTTCTCAGCAAGGAACACCCCTGAGAAAGAGAATGCGCTCTGAGGGTAGGCCTATAAACGACCCCCTTGGAGGCGTGCCGCCTTTTACGGTTGAAGCCGAAGGGATGAAATAAGCCCCGGCCTCCTGTAGCGCTCCCAGGCTTATTAGGACGAGGAAATTCCCACCTAATAAATTTTGGTCAGACAGGTTGTCTGCTCTCAAACCCTGTTTTCTGATAAGATGTTATCCATGACTATGCATGCCCAAAAATTTTAATTTTAACACCATCCTGTGATCTCATCCTGCCTCCACTTGCTTTGTGATATTCTATTACTTTGTGAAATATGTAATCTCGGTGTCATGATGATAATGGTGGTTTTGTTGAAAAGAAAAGGGGGAAATGTGGGGAAAAGAAAGAGATCAGCCTGTTACTGTGTCTATATAGAAAGAAGTAGACATAAGAGACTCCATTTTGTTCTGTATTTGAGATGCTGTTAATCTGTGACCCTACCCCCAACCTTGTCCTTGCAAGAGACATGTGCTGTGGTAACTCAAGGTTTAATGGATTTTGGGCGTGCAGGGTGTGACTTTGCTCCTAGAAAAGCTAGGTATTGTCCAAGGTTTATCCCCATGTGATAGGATGAAACAATGTTGCTAAAAGGTTTATCTCAAGGCACAGGATTTTCCTTTAAACTTATTCATGTCACAGATCCTTGTTCTTATGTCTTACTGCTAATTTCCTCCCTAAAAACGATCCTATTGTCCTGCCACTCCCTTATCTTTAAGATGGTAAAGATAATTATAAATACTAAGGGAACTCAGAGGCCGGTGCCGGCGTGGGTCCTCTGTAAGCTGAGCGCCGGTCCCCTGGGCCCCGCTTTTCTTTCTCTATACTTTGTCTCTGTGTCTTATTTCTTTTCTCAAGTCTCTCGTTCCACCTAACGAGAAACACCCACAGGTGTGGAGGGGCAGGCCACCCCTTCAAAGTAGTGAAGACAAACTGAAGGCTAGAAACCAGGTTTATTAACCACCAAATTCTACGTTTTTCCCAAAATATCTTATTGCTGGCATAAAGATAAGACACCTTGGTTTTCTCATCTTTGTCCGAGGTTGGATAATTGGAATCTGTTCTCAAATTCTGTTCTCTCTACATAAAGATCATAATATTGATAATCCATAGGGTTTATATGCTAGACATTTTTTCCAATAATTAAATACCAATGACACAGAGTCACATTTGTCTATTTTCCCTCTTCTGGCCAAGAACACCAATTGACAGAATGGTTAGTTGGTATTCAAGCTGCCATTTTGACTCTGTGACTTTTTTTTTTCCTCAATCCAAATGCGTACAGATATACTATGGGGAAGGAAATTCCTATTATTTCACTAGACCAACTCCATAATAAAATGGGTAATAAAAAGTATCGTATCTTCTCTATATGGTTAAAACAGCAAATGCTAACAAAGCTACTTTGCTCATTTACCTCTTTTACGAGAAATAAAACATCATGTGAATGAACTTAAACACAGTCAAACTTGATCCATAAGCCTAATGTTACAATGGATTTGTTTTCTTCACACTATATTTTCTCATATTTTTTTCCCCACTGAAATAGAAAGAAGATCAAGGTAAGAAGACAGGGGAGAGTGAGACAGTGTCCTACATGGCCACCACTTGAGGTAGCAATTAATTCTGAGATACAGGTTAATGAGGAAGTATGATCCAGTCAATGTCATAAAGTGAATAGTGATCAAATTAATTATAAGCCAGTAAATTTCTGGCACATTTTTTTTCCTTAGTGGTACCATGCAGTTTAAAGAGATAAGATATTAAGACAGAGAGAAATAAAAAGAGAAAGTAGAGTTCTGTAATAGATAAAAATATTAAAATATGGACTTTACATTTAGGATTCCTTTTCTTTTAAGTTCCAGAATATTTAATACTTTGGGACCCTCAAAAAAATGGTTGGTTGGCTAATTTCTAACCGCCCCATCGACCTGATTTCACCACAGAGTTAGACATATATTTGTAAGCGAATAGGCCTTATATTTTACCCAGGGTAGAAAAGAGGAAAACAGATACAGAAGGACAATGACATCAATAGATGATATTTAGATAAGTAAACAATGACCAGCTCTTCCTTTCCTGAAAAAATAACCCATGCTCAGCAACTAAAACTTTAATGTGACCCTTTCTCTATGATGACAATGACAAAGTATATTCCACTTCATAGAAGCTTCCAGAGGCAGCAGTAACTGTTATTTTGAAAAAAGAAAATAGACAATCATGAAGAGAAAGCTTTTTTCCTGAATGTGTATATTATTCACAATTTCAGCAGGAGAAAAATTATACAAAAAGTTAGGTGAAGCAGGAATATGTGTTAGTGTAATAAATACAATAGATAGCCAAACTGTCAATTCACTGAAATTTTATAAATTTGCCAGTATTTGTTAATAGGCTCTATTGCCTCAAGTGTCTAGTTTTTCCCAATTGAAAAATAGTCTCCTAGAAGACTTTAATTTACTACTCAACCATTGGTAAAATAGGGAAACATGGAATATTACAGTAGGAAAAAAATCTTTAAGGCCATCTTATCCAATTTCCTCATTATCACGGATAGAGTAGCTGAAGCCAAGATAAGTTAAGTAACCACCTGAGACCAGGCAGTACTATTCACACTTCTTTGCCAGTTCTTTTTCTCCCTTTGGCCTATGTCTTATGCTGTTATTATACGAGTAGTTTATAGAAGATTCAAATTGGAAGAAATATTGAAGATTATCTATTTTGTCCTTTTCTCCTTCTCAGCAAGTAGCTATGTAGCCACGCCTGAATACCTCCAGTGACAATAATTCACCATCAAAATATTCCAGGGCAGTTTTTACTAATGTATTAAATAATTTCTAAGACATTTTTACCATTTCTTTAACAAGAGCATTCCCAAAAGTAATCAGATAATTTATTGCCAAACTATTTTTAACTCTTTGATTAAAGGGTTTTTTAAAAGATTAAAAACAGAAGCAGTGAATATTGTGGCTAATATAATATTGGAGAATCCAGGTAAACAACTCAGGTTTAATACTACATTGAAGGGACACTTACCAACTTGAAAAAGATGATTTACTTCCCTAAAGAATGACTTGGGCACTAGGAGAAAAAGGGCAACATTAATAAAATTATTTAAGTTTACAAATTTTTCTCATTCCTATTCAATATTACCAGTTTATGTCCTTCCTGAATGAACTATGGAAAGAGCAACTGCCTTTGCAATGGATCAATATCTAATATTTTAGTTTAGTTTTTTTTTTTTTTTTTGGAGGAAACTTGTGTTCTTTTGGGGGGCGGGGAAAGCATAATGATACATAATGAAAAATACTGTTACTGTCCTGGCAAATTTTCTATGTGAAATTGCAGCAGAATTCATCAATTATGGTAAATGACCAATAAAAATGCTCAATCAAAAACTCATTTTAACATACATTGTTAATGAACTGTATATAATGATGCTTAATCAAAACCTGACATGATCGTATGGGAGAAAAGTTCCACAGGACCTGCAGAGCACTATTGTTCTGAACAAAAGATAACAATAAAACTGTATAATTAATAGCCTGTGGTCATGTGGCACTCTCTGGGAAGCTCAATTCCACAACAAGCCCCATTGTTTTTTAAAACACAGGAATTGTGTTCCGTAATATCACTAATGCCATCAGTAAGAAGGTACCATTTTCAGGCTGCTTTTATCTGACATGGAGTTTTTTATTGTTGTTACTTGCTAAAGTATAACTAAGATGCAAAAATCAGTGAATGAAGCTGCTGACCACAAAGATAGGGGAAAAAATCTGCTTATTTTATATCTTCACAGTCTATAAACGACACAGTATTTAAAAATATATTCTAATAGAATATCTGTATTAAATAAGTCTATACGGAACATTTATCTTGTTCTCGGGTGACAGTGTAATAGTGATAGATAACACAAGGCACTTCGAGATGCTGAGATACAGCCCTCAAGGTGCAAATGAAAATATTCATGGAAAAGTTTAGAGTGAGAAACATAGTCAATTGTGAAAGCCACCTTGTTAAATCAAACTTTACCTGATAAGCTGTATGAAACTTAGTATGCCAGCTTAGAGAGTTATCAACCCTCAAAGTTCAGTGTGTCTATCATTGGTAATAACACTTTGCAGCTTATATATGTGCAGCCCATGTATGGACCCCAAAATATAATTCAATGCCAATTCTATCGACAGGAAAATGAAATAATGAAAAAGATGCTTACCAAAACCACATTGGGAGGCGTGAGACCTGTTTATGAAGGGTATGAATCAGAAATCGGTGTTGTAGTATTTCACTGCTAAAAATCTGGGTTAAGGCCATTGGCTCAAATGCTGATGTGTAGTTTATTTTTCATAAATCTGAATACTGAGTATTAAAAAACCTGTCTCTATGCATGCAAACTAAATATATTAATGTTCCCTATATTTCAGCTATATCTAAACTCAGAATTAAGGACACAGTAATGCTAATGTATATTTTCAAGCCAATGAGTGTCCTGTATAAGTTAGTATTCAAAAACTCCTCCTATGTCAGATGGCCTCTTGACCCAGCTGATAGGAAAATCATAGTTGAGAAATGGAGAAACATTTTACTTTCCCATTAAGGCTAATAAGCAATGTGGTTGCTATCAATCTCAGAAAGATTAGTCAGGAAAACATTAATCCTGGGTATAAGTAAGCACTTTTTCAAAAAGACCCTACACTGAGCACAGAAAGTCATGTACAAAGGCAATTCCAGTGATTGAGAATTGTCAAAATAAAAACTAAAAATAAAAACCAAAGAAAAAAGTGAGAATCTGTTTTATTCCTCCAGGGAGATCCTGGTGTATATCTATATTTACATTTAGATAGATAGATGATAAAGATAGATAGATAGACAGATAGATAGGTAGATAGATAGATAGATAGATAGATAGATAGAGATATACATCATTTCAGGGAAAGCCTGAGAGTCAAATGTAGATAAACAGAGTCCAAATATTGGTAGTAGTTGTAGTATGGTTAGAACTAAAGAAGAGGAAATAGTAAGAGGGCAAGGGCCCAGGAAGATAAGCTATACTAACAAAGACTTACTGCTGCATTGCACCTTTCAATTAGCATTTCATTACTTCCAAGCTGCTCTAAGACCATTTCTAAACTGTCTACAAGGAAATGGACAGTGGACCCAATAAGGACCGTGTCTTAGTCTGTTTTGGGCATCTACAACAGAATATCTGAGATGCCATAATTTACAAGGAAAAGAAATTTATTTTCTCACAGTACTGGAAGCTGGGAAGTTCAAGATCAAGGCACTGTCAGGTTGGGTTGGCTGGTAAGGGTTGCTCTCTGCTTCCAAGATGGTGCCTTATGCCGCATCATCTGGAGAGAAGGAATACTGTGTTCTCATATTGTAGAAGGCAAGGGGGCCAAACTCCCTCTATCAAGCCCCTTTATAAGGGTACCTAATCCCATTCATGAAGGAGGAACCTTCATGGCCTAATCATTTCTTTAAAACCCCACTTCTTAGTACCAACAGGGAAGAAAGGAAAGGATCAGTTAGGCAGATAGCTAGGGCAAAGTCCTGATTTGAATTTCTTTTCTGACAGAAGGGACAGCCTGAAAGACCAAGCTGCAAGCACAGATAAGAAAGCAAGGTCCAGCATAAAATAAGGTCTTCTGTATAACCAGCAAGCCTCACGTAAACACAATGGGCCTCAGTGGGCACATTCTTCTCCTTTTTTCAGATATACCTAGGTAAGGAAGCTTACACAGGTGGAAGGTTTGCTTGGAACATGTCTACAGCTGCACAGATAAGAGGAGCTACACTGGACCAGGCACATCCGCAATGGAGAATCCCATCCCCTAACCCACGTGCAAGAAGGGAGATTAAACAACATGGAGTAACTTCAGCCAAGAGCCCACATGCACACTAGAAGAACAGGGTGGGGGCTGTTGGGAATTCACATCTTATACAAATGACATACCTAGTCCTAATGGGTTTGCACCTTATGTAGAGGAAACACCTCTCCCCACTAGCTTGTTTATAAAAGTCTTTGTATTCAACTGTAAAGCAGCAACCCTCTTTCGGGACCCCTCTCGTGGCAGAGAGCTTTCTCTCTTCCTTCCGCTTATTAAACTTCTGCTCTAACTTCACCCTTGGAGTCCACTTTCCTTGATTTCTTCAGTTATGATGAAGAACTCCAGGTGATGCCTCAGATAACAAGACTGTTTCAATACTATCACATTGGGAATACCTGAATTTTGGAGGGGACACATTCAAACCATTGGTGGTCCTGTATCTCCTTCAGACGGCTTCTAAAAATAGAGTAAGATCACATTTTAATATATCTCTTTTGGACCATATTGTGAATCCCTTTTGGACCATATTGAGAATACTCAAGGAAGAAACAAACTTAGAAGCCTCTATGCCACCCCCACCAAGACTGAGATCTATAGCTTGTTGGAGAGGGTGTGGCCCACTGGATGACACTGAGGAGTCATAGGCTGGGATTGACAAGCAGGAAACAACGAGTTGGGGTGTCAGGGAAACATGTTGGGGATGGACAGTACTGAGTCTCCCTCACTGCACTGTCAAGGGAGTTGCCCACTGGGGTACTGGTGAAACTCACTGAAAGCTGCCCACTGAGGTGCTGGCAGAACTCACTAGAAAGATGCTGGCAGGAGTGCCAGTAAGACTTGCTGGAGAATGTGCATTCTCTGGTCTCCCATGTGAGGATGCTTGCTGGACACTGCATTGTAGAAGCCAGAAGAAAAGCAATGGAACAAGGTGCTCATGCAGAGTTCCTCCAGCATCCTCTACTGATAAAGCTTAACCTGGAGATTACTGGCACAAGAGACATTTTTATAGGATCCAGATTCAGTTTCAAAATGAAGTACACGGGAGGGTGAATTTGTACTAAGAAGGTAACAAATTGGCAACTGGCACATGTGGGTAATAGATCTGGGAAACAAAATTCCAAGTCTGTTCTCTTGAATTATATCTTTCCCAATCATCAAGTTACTGGAGTGACTCCATTAGATATAGGAGTCCAGGAAGACCAAATTTCATGGAATAAAAGCATGGAGTTGAGTCTAGGAAACAATTTAAATAACGGAGAAATTAGTTGTTACCAAGATTTCAGTGACAGAGAAATGAATTTAGAGGAAAACATACCACAGGCAGATTGAAAATACTAGGTCTTAGGTCTAGGACTAGAGTCAGCACTTGCAGAAACCCAGGAAAGTGTGTCTGTGTCCTAGGTCCCTTGCTTGTCTCTCCTTATACCCAGCCCTGTTAAATCTATAACTATATGGCTCACAATTTCACATTGTCTCTCAGGGACTGACACATGTGTGATACCCAATAGTTGCTGTTTTTCTTTTCTTTTGTTTGTTTATTTTTTAAGATAGGATCTCACTATGTTGCCCAGATTAGTCTTCAACTTAAACACTGGGCTCAAGGAATCATCCCAACTCAGCTTCCCAAGTAGCTGGGATGCCCAGCAACGGGTTGCCTTTAATTGCTAAAAAAACCACTTATGAATTGAGATACAAAGAGCATAAGTATATAAAAGTGGGTGGAAGTTTTGTCCCAGTTCTGAATTTTAATAACATAGACTAGATAACCAAACAATAATTTTAAAAGAAACTTGGACATTCAGTGTCAAAATAATGCAGGTATATTAGCAACAGTAGTATAGTACTCAAGTATATAAATTAATTCATTGTGAGTGTTAAGCAATGATACTGGATTCTAACATCTAAAGACTAGTGGAAATGAAGAGTGTCAGTGGCATCAGACTAACAGACTTTCGATGTTTTCATGTCAGTTCATAGATTCTGAATCTCATGAGTTATCATGGGTAATACTAATTGATGAACGCTGATAATCTTAAATACAAAGTCACTCTAGGCTTCCTTTCAAATGCCGCAAGCAAGGAAACATCAAACCGGCCACACACACAGTGTCAGTACCACCTCAGCTGTTTCTGCAGACTTAAAGACCCAAATTCCTTTTTCCCTCCTCAGCCCAGGGTCATCTTGTGGAATATTATTTTAGAGCCTCTAGAGCACTATTACAGCCTGAATACCCAGTCCAGGAAGGCCCAACTTCATAGAATAAAAGCATAGGGCTGAGACTAGGGAACAACAACATAAAAACCAGTATATATATATTGAAACAAGAGAGAAATTATATATGCTTGTATATAACCAGAATTGAGGAAAGGTGCTGTGTGGTAGACACCTGACAGCAATATCCTAAGAAATGAGGGTTACCACATGGAGGTTACTGCGGGGAGGGAGCTAAGTGAAGACACTATGTATATAAACTGCATGCTTTTTATAAGTGGGAGCAGTTCTCCTGTCCAGCCCACTGACACTGGACAACCCTGTAAGCAAGTTCCCTCAAATACACCCTATGTTTCACTCACTGGCTCTGGATCTCTTCTTCGGCTTCTTGAACCTGGTGTCATCCCTGTTGTAGTTAACAGGGGTCCAACACAACAGGTACTGCTGGAAGGAAGCAGTGAGGCTGTAGGTCTTGAGTCAACACAAATACCTGTGAGCAGCTTGAGGAATTTCCCAAAAGGTGGTAATTTGTCAGGAAAGATGAAAAGGAGCTCTGAGAGAAGCAAGGCTTCACAGCGTTTAAGGTTTTGAATATAAGTCACCAGGGGGTTCTTGTTAAAATGCAGATTCTTATTAGGTACACCTGTGGTTCAGGTGGATTCTGCATTTCCAACAAGTTTGCTAATGTCAATGCTGCTGGTTTTCAGACCACATTTTGAAGAGCAAGGTTCTAGAGGGCAGTGTTCCTCAAACAGAGGGGATATTTGACCCCCAGAAGACATCTGGTAATGTCTGGAGACATTTTTTGGTTGTCATTGTGGAAGTGCTACTGGCATCTAGTGAGTGGAGACCAGGGATGTTGCTAAACATCCTACAAGGCACAGAATGGCCCCCACAACACACGATTATCTGGCCCAAAGTGTTGACAGTGTTGTTGAGAAAATCTGCTAGAAAGAACACCTTCTGAAGGGTTTAGCTTTCAAATGCTTTTCCCTTAAATGAGTAGGATTATGGTAAATGTCATATTTAAAGGAGAATTGTGCAAACTTTCCTGAGTCATTGCAATGTCCTTTAATTCTCAAAGCCTTTTGGTAGACTTACACATTTGCATACAACTTTGTTCAGTGACATACTAGAGGTTAGCAGAACAGACGATAGACAACTGGAGAGAAATAGTCGTTTCCCAGGTAGAAATATCAGCTCAGAGGGCCTAACAGAATAAAACTGCTAACAGTAACAGCAAACAGTGGTAAAAGACTTTACAAAGCAGAGGGGATTCCATGAGTTTCCAGCTAAGAGAGAGGTGGCCCTCGGTAGAAAGGAGAGTCAGAGCTGAGTCACATAATTCAAAGAACGGTCCAGGAATTTCTGTTCCAAGCCTGCCATTCCTGACCAAAGGAGAATGCTCCTTTAATATAAGAAATACCTCTTTTTCCTCAGATATTTATGATAATATATCATAAATTTTATATGATAATATAAAGTACTGGCAAGCTGGACTATTATTCACTCAATACAAGTGGTTTGTTAAGGCCAGTACCCATGGTCCATGGTGTACAGGCCTAATATTTCAAATATGTGCACACATACTTGTGTGTATACTTGGTAGCTTGATAGAGATGATGAGAGGCTGCCTGGAAGCATCCAAGGAAATGGAGAGTGGGGGGTAGACAGTAGCTGAGCTCTCTGGTGTGTAAAAGCCACCAAATCATGGGAGTCCTTTCTAACAAAGGGCCTTTATCTGTTCCAAGGAGGGACAGACATAATCTGAGATGGGTCAGAGATGCAACAGGAAGTCCAGCAAAATACGCAATAGGCAGATTTGGTGAAAAGGTTGTAATAAGTACATCCCTAAAAAGGAAATTCCCATTCTACAAGAAAGGGTTTCTCACTCATCAAATCGTCCAGTTAATAAGTTAAGAATGCCTCGACCATTTCCTTCAGAGACCAAGCCATGTGGCAGAAAGAGTGACTTTTTATCCTGTGATGCCAACTGTGATGTTTAACAGGTAGAGAGCCCTTTGTCTCCTCCAAGACAAACAAAAATGAATTGCTTTTCAAATCTAGTCTTGGAACACCAGAGAGGAGGCGCAATAAATGTACTTTACTTCTATGACCTAAGTTTGAAAAGAAATTTTTAATAAGCAAGTAAGTTATAATTAATAAGAAATAGAATTTTATTTGAAGAAAGAGCCACAAGCCACTGAACACAATGGCTGCCACGATTATTGGAAGCTGGGTTCCAAAATTCAAGGCTTGAACCAAGGATAGGACAGCCCTACCCCTTCAAAAGTGGCACCTGGGCAAATAAAACCATCCCCAGGCAATTGGCATTACCAGTCCAGCCTACATTCCCTGATATCACCAGTTTCAAAAGCTTATCTGTTTATGTGTTCTTATTTACTTGGTACACCATTGTCTAAGATTTGTCCATTTTACCCTGGGTATCTCTTATTCTTGCTTTTTAGGTAACCTACCTTTTGCCACATTTCCTTGGCCTCTGTCAAATTTGGAGCTTTAATTTCTTTTGTCTGACTCTATCCTGCCACCAAGGAAGTACCACACCCACAGTGTTGAAGACAAGCAGCTTCCAAAGAAAGTAGTTGTATGGAAAATCAGAAAGAAGTACAGGTGATATGGTTTGGCTGTATCCCCACTCAAATCTCATCTTGAATTGTAGCTCCAATAATTCCCACACGTCATGGGAGGGACTTGGTAGAAAGTAATTCAATCATGGGGGCAGGTTTTTCCCCTGCTATTCTCATGATAGTGAATAAGTCTCATGAGATATGACAGTTTTATAAAGGGCAGTTCCCCTGCACATGCTCTCTTGCCTGCCGCCACGTAAGATGTGCCTTTGCTACTTCTCTGCCTTCCACCATGATTATGAGGCCTCCCCAGCCATGTGGAATCTATGAGCCCATTAAACCTCTTTTTCTTTATAAATTACCCAGTCTTGGGTATTTCTTCATAGCAGTATGAAAATGAACTAATACACTAAATTGGTACCAGTAGAGTGGGGTATTGCTATAAAGATACTCGAAAACGTGGAAGCAACTTTGGAACTGGGTAACAGGCACA